GTGTAGCTCAAGTGGTAGAGCGCTCGCCTTGAGCTGAAGAGCTGAGGGACAGCGCCCAGGCCCAGAGTTCAAGCCCCACGACCGACAAAAAAAAAAAAAAAAACAGCAGAGCTGTTGCTCAAGTAGTAGAGTGCTAACCTTGAGCAAAAGTAGCCAGGGATAGCCTTTAGGCCCTGAGTTCAAGCCCCCCCCCACCTCTCTCTCTCTCTCTCTCTCTCTCTCTCTCTCACACACACACACACACACACACATGTTAGATATATTATGCTGAATAGATACTCAATAGATGATGGAGACAGTATAATATTGCTTGTAAGAATAATTGTGGTCACATGACCTTTTCTAGGGCGAGTGGAAGGTCAATGCCTCTGTCTTTCCAGATACTCAAGTCTTAGCTTCAGAAACAATGGCTGTTAGTGTCACAGTGCAATGTGACCTACCCATTTCTCCACCCCCCCTCCTTCCCATTCCTTGTTCCTCCTGGTTTGGCTACTTAAGGTGAGGGGCACTGCCACTTCACCAACTCATGGTCTTCCCTTTTCCCTTAATTTTGGGACCTATACTCAGAGGTGGAGGTCAGTCATGAGGAAATCTCTGGGAAGATGGAGAGAGAAGGCATGCCATACATGGCCTGGCTGCTGGCATGCAGGGTCTACAGGCAACTGTTAGCAATAGTGATTCATGTACCTGAGGAAGGGCATTCTGTTCTGACTTTTGTGTCCCTCAAAATCCAAAGAGTTCTGCAAAAGTCACCAGGGCCAGTGGGTCCCCAGTCCTGGTCTAGACAAGTAGGAGGAAGAGTTGACCACCATCTCTGTCATCAAAGGGTTTACAGTTCTGTGAGCTGGCCCAGTGAGGGGGCATTGGGTAGGCTCAGAAATGAGAAGACTAAGCTGAGTTTTCCCTATCTGAAAGCTGACATAAAAAAAGAACCTGTCTGTGTGTGTCTGTGTGGTTTTATGTTTGTAATCCCAAGTCATTTAGCACAACATAGTGTCTGGCATGTAGTTGGATACTGGTGAGTTTGGGGCTAGGAGCAGTGGGTGGATGAGGATAAGTGGAGTCAGCACTGGCAGAGGGAGAGGCCATGGGACAGCTGTGCTGAAATCCAGATCTGAGAGCTCAGAGGAGGCCACTTGGCCCAAGCACACAGGACAAAGACCTTACCTGGCAGTCATGGGGGGGGGGCAGTTGGTATGACTGCTGATATAAGGTTTTAGACACAAAACAGGAGGAGAGTGGCTGTTTAAGCAGCAGAGAAGTTCTTAGAGACTATATCCCCCCATACACACAAACTTGTGCACCAAAGACCTTTAGTTCTGGATCCTCAGCAATTGTAGGCATGGCACACACCTGCTCCCTGGCTCAGACAAGCTAAACTGAGTAGAGATTCCGATCTTCTGGTCTCTTTTCTTACCACTGATCAACACTGCAGCAGTTAGAAGCTTTCTTGTGACTCCTGGCTAGAGGAAGACTGAGGAATCCCTGGTAAAACCCCTATAACTCCCCACACACACACACACACCTCGCCACACACCACACCACAACAAATCCCAGAACCCTCTATGTTGTAGTCACTTCTGGACCTCAAGCAAGCAGTGCCAAAGCAAATCACTATCAGGGCCTCACATCTGAACAGGCAGCAGGTGTAGTCAGATGCATGTGACTCCAGCTGGGCACTCGGGGCCAAGTGGAGCTGGGAGGATGACTCAGGGCCCACGGAAAAGAAGCTGCAGGAAAGGTGCACCTTGTGCCCATGGTGCCCTCTGACCTTGCCCCCATTTTTGAACCCTTAGAACCCTCACCTGTGCCACTGTAGATCATTCAGAGTTTCTGGAACCAATATGCATCTTGAGGAAAAGTCACTTCATGCCAAACCAGAAGCCTGGTTCCCATTTGACCACCGCACTGAGGTCTGTGGATGTTCAGTGTACCCTGCTAGACCCCTCCAGCGCAGCCTGGTTACTGACCTTGGTCCTGGGGGGCCTGCACTCTCCCTTTAAAGTATATTCCTAAGAGGACCTTAACTAAAGACTGCTAAAGTGAAGTTTTGAGAAAAAAAAAAGCAACACTTTCTCCTGCCCAGTCGTGGAGAGGTGGGGCTTTCATCTGATCACACAGATCGGAGCATGAGTCCTTTGGATAAAGCCTTCTTTATCTAGTGCTCTGAACTGGATAAGAAAGAATTCCAATCGCATTTCTTTGCCCTCTGGCAAAGGAGCCCCCTTTTGTCCTCACTCCCTGGCTGCCCCTGCCCAGTTCAGAGTCTTGTTTCTCTTGCCAGGAGGTCCTGGCAGCAGCCACAAGGCCTGAGCATTGGACTTGGAGCTTGGAAAGACCCCCACCCCCACCCCGAATGTGCATGCCTCTCTGTGGCCGTGCTTGTGTGTGCGTGTGTGTGGACTTGCACGTGAGTGTGTGTGACAAAAATCGCTTCTGGAGCATGTTGCCCTCTGTCTGCCCCTCCAGGTTACTCCTCGCTGCAGGACGAGCTGCTGTCCCCTGCCTCCCTGCACTACGCGCTTCCCTCTCCGCTGCGTGCAGACCAGTACTGGAACGAGGTGGCCGTCATAGACGCCATCCCACTGGCAGCCACGGAGCATGACACCATGCTGGAGATGTCTGACATGCAGGTGTGGTCTGCCGGCCTCACACCCTCCCTGGTCACTGCTGAGGACTCCTCTCTGGAGTGCAGCAAGGCCGAGGACTCTGACGCCACACAAGAGTGGAAGTTGGAGGGGGCGCTCTCAGAGGAGCCGCAAGGCCCGGAGATGGGCTCTCAGGACCTTGTGGAGGACGACACAGTGGATTCAGATGCTACAAATGGCCTTGCCGATTTGCTTGGCCAAGAGGAAGGTCAGAGGTCAGAAGAGAAGAGGCAGGAGGACTCAGGTGCAGGGCGGGACTCAGAGACTGAAGTGTCTCTTGTTTCAGGCCAACAGAGGGCGCATGCCCGAATCACAGACTCGCCGATCGTGAGTAAGGTGCTGGAAAGGAGCCAGGACAGGTAAGGGCTGGACTGTGGTAGCCAAGGTCTCTTTTGGCTTCTGGGTGATTTTGCCTGGCAGTGAGCACAGAGAGAAAGTTCCAGTGCTTTCTTGCTTGAATAAATCCACTGTGACACCAGTTGCATCTGAAGCCACCATACATTTGAAAAGAGCTGAGACATGCAAAGGCACTTGCCTGCCCAAGACCCCCTCCTGGGAGTATTCAACAGGAAAGACACCTAGAGGTGTTGGAGACAAGCAAGAGCATACTTAGGAGATGGGTCATCAGGGTTGGGAAGCTGAGTCTCTACAATGCTGCTGAGGTGCAGTGCTCTGGGCTCTGGTCATCATTTTGTGCTTATTGTTGAAGGCACCTTTAGATACCTAGCAGAACCAAGACCCAGGGAAGTTATTCACATGTATCATACAACTTTCATGTGATTGCTGATCATGGAGGCCTCTCTACTGATCTCCCTTGAACAAGAGAGACTGGAGGGCTTATCTAAGCTAGACAGTATTTTCAAGGCTTAATCGATAATTATTCAAAGAGCAGGTAGTAGCATGGCAGTTCAGGCAGGTGGCTCACACCCTCTGCAGATACTGGGAATCCAGAGTGAGGGCCACACACTCCTTGGGTTTCCACTCTCCCAGCAGAACAGCTATCAGAATCCTGGCATTCTGTTGATCGCAGACCAACAAGGGCTCAGAACTTAGATGGTCCCTTATAAGAGCACAGGCCTGAGTCAGACATGAGTCAGACATGAGCTGAGAGTCTCTCCGTAGCCTAACACAGGAGGTGAAGGACAGAGGCCTTTTGTCCAAGTGGCTTTGTTTCCTAAGATTTCCCTGAAGCAAAGACATAGTTCCTGCTAAGGAGCTCAGCACTTGCCAAGTGAAGGGCTTCTCTTCCTTCCTCTGATCCTCTCCACTGGAGTTTAGTAAACTGGCTGCTCCCTAGGGTCCACTCAGTGAGACTATCAGGAAATAGAATATCATTTAATTTACTTTGTTTACCAAATGAATACCTTGATTGGTGGGAAGAACTGGACAGACTGAGCTGGCAAGGGTTCAAAGAGAAATCCCCATGGGAGTAGCTCTCTTCCAACGCCTAATACTGGCCATTCAACACACATCTATTAAATGTTGACTGAGTGCTGGCCACTGCTCCATTATAACAGCAATCACTGTTACTTGGTTCTAGGCCTAGTTATATCACCTGCTGACTCTGTGACCTTGGTCAGCCATCTAGTGTGGACAGGTGAATGTCACTTATTCACAAGATAATAATTATACACCACCTACCATTTGCTGGGCACTGTAAATAATACCTACATGTTGGGGATATGGTATTAGCAAATCAGACAAAAGTTTCTACCTGAGAGAATTAGTGGAGAAACTGACAAGAAATAAGATAAGGTTGATATATTTGTGGATTCCAAAGCCATGAGTTCAACCAACTGTGGATAAAAAAAAGAGTTTTAAAGAAAGGCTGAGGGCTTGTTCAAGTGATACAGCCCTGCCTAGCAAACCTAAGCCCTGCAAAAAAAAAAAAAAAAAAGGAAAATGTCTTTTCTGCACATGTGAATATTTTGCCTTGAGCAGAGGTTGTCGAGACAGTTGGGAGCTAGCACTAATGGTGATGGCATCACTAATGGTGAGGCATCATTGATGAGAGAAGTGTTTGGGTTCAATATTTTTAAAGTCAGACCAGAAAGGTTTTCTGACTAACATGATATGGAATATGATATGAGAGAAGCAAGAAGACAGGGAGGGCCCTGGTGTTCTCACTTGACAAATAACAAGAACTTCACAAGCTAAAGAGAAGACCAGTGGAGTAGGTATGGAGGGAAGACCATAGGTGGGATCTGACCATGCCACCCTTGAGATACCTATTAGAAACCCAATGTAGAGGCACAGGAACAGATGAACACACACATCTGAAGTCCAAGAAGATGTACTCTAGGCAAGATGAGCATCTGGATAGATTTAAAGCCAGGAATTGAAGGCACCCACTCAGGCAGTAGGTGTGGTCAGCAGAAGCTCTGAAGACATGTCTGCTGTAGTACTCAGAAAGTCAAGAGAGTCAACAAAGTCTGCTTATAGGAGTGCCAGAGAAGGAGTGATATTGAGGAGGAGGGAGAGTGATCACACTGTCACATGAGGATATGGGAGTGACCTAGGGGGCAGGAGTGCATGGCATTGTCTGAGGGCATGAGCTAATGCATCTGTGAACCCAAAGAGGAGAATGGCTTTCTTAAAGAGAGGGGCCCAGTGGTCCAATGACCTGCCCCATCCAGTGACACTGGTGTGTCATGTGTACCTCTTCACTGTGGCAGTCTGCTGTGTGACCTGTTCACAATCTCCAGACCCTTAAGACTGGATAGTAGTCCAGACTGTGTCCTGGATGAACCATAGCCCTGGGGTGGGTTAGGCTGGGGTGGGGGAATGATCTCCAAGAACAGAAACTGAGGGTGACCAGTTGTCCTTCCTCTCTCTCTCTGGCCATCTGTCTCCTGCCTGGATCCCAGAGCACAGGACTGGGATAGACAAAGCTCTATGGTCTCTCACCTGCAAGATGTCACACAAAGCCCCTGGCAAGAGGAGATTATACAAGGCCCACACTCACTCCAGAGAAAGATCACCACTGTTCAACGGCTGGAGCCCAGTGGGCCTCAGGAATATGAGAAGGTGCTGGTATCTTCAAGGGAGCTTGTGAGGATGGAGCAGCCTGAGCCTTCTAGCATCCAGGCAAGCAGGGAACACAACCTCCGAGGCCCTGGAGAGTGGCTGCAGGCGGCCGGGAACACCTTCTCCCGGGAAATACAGGTGAGAGCTTATAGGGAGCACTTCCATTCTTCCTTCCCAACCTGGGAAGCTCATGCAGTCAACCTGAGCCAAGTATGTTTACTTTCTTTAGAAACTGACAGTGACTTCACTTTCTCTTTAAGTGGGAACACAAGAACTTTCTGCCTCCTGGACCTCTACCAAGGAGGGGAGAGGCTCGTAGTAATTGTGGTGATCCCTCCCTTTGGCCACATGGCAGCCCTCCCTCCTCCCTCCTTAGCTAGGGATTCTCAGAATGCGGGGTGGCTTGCTCAAAGCCTTACTCTCCCAGTAGGCTTCAGAGGTTTGAGTGGACCCAAACCACAGTTTCTTGTTTATTTTGCTTGCCCAACATGATTTAGAAAGAGCTTGGAGCTGAACTGCACCAGTGGTTTCATGCCTGTAAGCCTAGATACTCAGGAGGCTGAGATCTGAGGATTATAGTGTGAAGCCAGCCAGGGAAGGAAAGTCCAAGAAACTCTTACCTCCAATTTACCACCAAAAGGCCAAAAATGGACCTGTGGCCCAAGTGGTAGGGTGAGTGAAAAAACTAAAGGACAGGGCCCCGACCTGAGTTCAAGCCCCTGTACACAGAGAGAGGGAGGGGAGAAAGGGAGAGGGAGAGGGAAGGAGGGAGGAACGATAGAAGGAAAGGAGAAAAAAGAAAGAGGAAAGGAAGGGAGGGAAGAAAGGGAGGGAGAGAGAGAGAGGGAGGGAGGGAGGGAGTGGAAGAGGGAGGGAGGGAGAAAAGAAAAGGAAGAAGAAAAAGAACAAACTTGGAGTCAAGAGAACTGCCCAGGCTGGGTCTGCAAAGCCATGCACTAGCGGCACTCTCCTGGGGCTGCGTGACCAGCCATTCTCCTCCGCACCTCAGTGCCCCCAGTGGGCATCAAGGAAGTGACTGGAAAAAAATCATCAGTGTCCACCAGTTCTGGACTTCTGTGACTCTGGGTTGGAAGGCAGCAAGATATGGGCAGCAACCTTCTCTTCTCCCCCTGCTATCCTAGGCTTCTTCCTCTCTCTGTCCTCCCTTCTTCCTTCCCTTCCTCTTGCACTTTCCATCCCTAAGTCTGCCTTGATCTGTTGTCTCTATCCCTTCCCACCCTTTCTCCCCATTCCCAGGTTCCACAACTGCCAATCTTGTTTCATCTGCAACTCTCCTCCCTTCCCCCACAAATTATTTTGAAACAAATCTTAGACATCATATTAGCATTTGTCTTTGATTTGTGTATTCTTATAAAATTTTCATTGGCATACTGCATATGTTTTTAATATGCACATGGCCCATGTGCTTGACACCCAGCAGTTTGTTTTCATATTGTCTACCCACTTTCCTTACAGCCTTTCCCTCCCTTCCCTTCCTCCCTGAATCTAGCCTGGCAGGACTCCTTTAGAGACTTAAGAACAAGGCTGGCCCTCCAGTGGTTCTGAGCTGTTGGCTATAAAGAACTGCTAGGAATTAAGTAGAGTTTTATTTAGAAAGCTTCCTTGCCAAGTATGTGCACTTGGACAGGACAGACAGTGCATCCATTTTTAACCGTGGGCCACCCAGGGCATGCTTTCCTATCAGGCTGCTTCTTGGCACCAAATCCAATCTCTCCCAGCAGCAAGCGCCAGACCCCAAGCATAGGCTGCTCTGAATCTCCCAGGAAAAAGAAGGAAGTCATGAGCATTCTTCCCTCTGCTCCCTATAGTCAGCCCTTGGTGAGGGGAATATGGGGAACAGAGAGAATACTTCTACACCACATATCCAACTCTTTATTATAAATGAGTAAACTGAGACCTAGAGAGAGGCCTCAGGCTTTCATTGGGGTCACATAATCAGCATTTGGGAGGAGAGTCCAATTTCTAGTTTCACATCCTATGTGACTCAGTTTGCCAGGCTGAGTACACAGGCATCCCCCTTTCGACTCCCTGGCCAGAGGACTATTGGATGGATAGACTACCATCATTAGGGCATTTGACTTTCACCCAAAGGATGATTATGAGGCCCATTGAAGGAGGTTTGAAAGCTCCCACTTACTAGTATTTATATTGAATCCCTAACAACAATGATGGAGTGACAGAGCAGTAGAGCAATACCAAGTCATTTGGGATTTGGGAAACAGCTGGAAACAACTGTAATGTAACTAATTCCTCTGGAGACCGGTTGTGTGTGTGTGTGTGTGCGCACACACACACACACACACACACACAGAGGCATGCAGGTGAAACCCAAGGGGTCCTTTATGCATTCTAGACAAGTACTCTGCCACAGATTCATCTTCCTCTTTCCTCCTCTATAATTTTTGGGGTGGGGGGGGCCAGAACTGCTGGCCTTTGAGACATGAGTCCACCAGTGGCCTCCAGCTCTCCAATGAAGACTCATAGCTGGGTGCTGGTGGCTCATGCCTGTGATCCTAGCTACTCTGGAGGCTGAGATCTGAAGATCGTAGTTCAAAGCCAGCCTGGGCAGGAAAAGTCCTTGAGACTCTTATCTCCAACAAACCACTCAGAAAACCAGACATAGCATTGTGACTCAAGTGGTAGAGCGCTAGCCATGAGCTGAAGAGCTGAGGGACAGCGCCCAGGCCCAGAGTTCAAGCCCCATGACTGACAAAAAAAAAGAGTCATAATTTGGCCTTTTAAGTGGTGGTTTCTCTGTTTCTTGTGACTGAGTTTCCTTATAACATTCATTGCAACAATTTTGACCAGGGCCTGAGCACTCTCCCTGAGCTATTTTGCTCAAGGTTAGCATACTACCATTTTGAACCACAGCTCCACTTCTGGTTTTCTGGTGGTTAATTGGAGTTAATAGGCTCACAGACTTTCCTGCCCAGGCTGGCTTTGAACCGTGATACTCAGATCTCAGCCTCCTGAGTAGGTAGGATTACAGATGTAAGTCACTGGCGCCTAGTTTCCCTATACTCCTTAGCTGAGCTACAACTAAATGTCTTATGTGACTTGCATCTTTGCTTGGGCTTGTATTTATCCAGTTGCTTTCTTGTTGAACAGAAGCCATTTGGGAGAAGTAGGGGAGGACAGGAGTTTGAAATCTTACTTACACTTCTATAAGCAAGTTCCCTTAACTGTCTTTGCCTGTCTCCTCTATGGAAAACAGGAAAGTTGACCATAAGTAGTAGGGTTAAGCAAGTCAATATGAAACACATGGACCAACACCTGCTGAGCAGGACACACTGCAATACATTTGTCAATGTCATTCATGGTGCTAGTATTCTTTAACCATGTGGCCATCACAGCAGTCAAGAGAGTAGGGAGAACACTTTAATTTTCATTTTACAGATGAGGAAACAGAGGTACAGAGAAGATCAGCTTTCCCAAGACCCCATGGTAGGTGAATTGTAAGGTAGTTTGCCTAGTTGGGCTTCTGCTTGAAGGAAACAACCTGAACCAGAACTTTCAGATGCGATGGATGTGTTTGTAAATCAGCTTTGTGAATCCAAGTAAAAAACATGTAGTTTCTACTGAATGAGCATCACTAGCTTAGCACAGAAAGAGGCTTTGAGGGAAGGCCTTAAATAGATACCACTTCTATACTAGGGGTTGGTATTGCTGTGGTTGGAAAAAAAGGGACAGAAGGCCCTGGGGACAATGGAAATTGCACACCAGCTTCCATGTGGCCTTCCCTCCTACCTGTGTTGGATACTTACCTTCCACCATCTGACTCTACCTAGAAAGCCACTCACTCTTGTGGCTATCTTTTAAATTTATTTTAATAATACTTAGTAGTTGTACAAACAGGTTACAATATAACATGTCAGTTTGTGAGTACAACGCATCTTCATCAATGTTACCCCTTCCATCATTCTTGCCCATGTCTCCCAATCCCCTCGTCTCTCAGTTTACCTGCTCTCCTTTTCACAGATGTACATTGATTCATTATGGCTGCATTTACCTACCTTTCCTCTTTCTATTCCTCTGTCCCCCTCCTCTTGACTTCATTCCTCCTCACACATACCACACGTTTCAGCTGCCTCTCCTGCATATATAATATTTAGTTGATATGTTTGTGTATATATGCTTATGCCCCTGTATACATTTTCATGTATGTTTATAATTTAGATCTAACTTCTGCATATGAGAAGAAAACATGTATTGGGCTATTTTTTTTAAATAAACTCTTCACTATCCCAGGCGTTAGCTGGTCCCAGTGCCCAGCATGGAGACCAGAACCAAAGTCCTTCTGATTCTGGCAGGAAAGGCCAGCAGGACCCTCTTCCTTTTGATGGTGATTGATGTGTATGCTTGTAGGGTCTGAGAGCCAGCACCTGCTGACTCCCATCTCGCCAAGTTGGACAGTTCCAGCAGCTGGTTTGAGAGGTGAAATTATAGCAGCCAGACGTCACCCAGGACTGAGGCCAGAGCCTGCGCAGCTCGACAGGAGGGCACTGAGGCCACGCTGTCCTAGCTGAGAGGGCAATTTGCTCTCCTGCTTGGAGAGAGAAATAGTGAGGAATAGAAAGCCAACCAGAAGAGAGAGAGAGGGAGAGGGAGAGAAGATGGTCAGGGCTGCTGAGGGGCTCAGGAGTCCCAGAGGAGCATAAGATGCTGGCTTTCTTCCACATCTGTACCCCTGGCTCCCCTGGTCCCCAGAAGACCGGCTGTGGGAGGAGGTGAGGATGTGGACTTTCATCACCCAACTCCTGGTCACCCTGGTGCTGCTGGGCTTCTTCTTGGTCAGCTGTCAGAATGTGATGTACATTGTGAAGGGCTCCCTGTGCTTTGTGCTGAAGCACATCCACCAGGAGCTGGACAAGGAGCTGGGTGAGAGCGAGGGCCTGAGTGATGATGAGGAGACCATCTCCACCAGGGTGGTCCGGCGGCGGGTCTTCTTAAAGGTAACACCAGGCAGGCGGCAGGGTGAGGGCAGGAGGGGGCACCAGAACCATAGGGTGGAGCTGGGGGCTGTGTCAGTTCAGGACAGGAAATGTTTTGGAAGAGAAGAATCAGGAAGGTTTTGGACTGGGCTCTGTTCTGGGAGCTAGAGTTGTGTGTGTCATGGTCTGGGGACCTCCTTTGTTCCCAGCACAGGGTGACTGTCCAGAGAGCTGGGCTCTGGGATTTGGAAGATCCATTTATTCTCACTTTTGTCACCAGTCAACTTTTGGATTGCATTACAAGTCACACTTAGAGTAGTACTGCTCAAGGCTGGGCATTTAAGCTGTAAGTTCATCTAAAACTGGAGCCTCGCCTCCTGCTCAGGGCCTGTCTGGCCTGCTGTTAGAAGATAAAACACAGGCAAGCTCTGGACCCTTCCTGGCCTCCAACCTCAGGCTTCAGGCCCCATGGGGCACCGCCCACAACTTGGCTTGATTGTAACCAGTTGCTGAGCTTGAGTTTCTTGCTATTGTGGGGTTTATTGGATATTTATTGCTGCTTCTGCTTTTCTGTTTCCTCATTCTTAACTCTTATTCCTAAATTCCCACTTATCCAAGCTTGTGATTTTTCCTTTTTTCCAATTTCAGGGAAATGAGCTTCAGAATATTCCAGGTGAGCAGGTGACAGAGGAACAATTCACAGATGAGCAGGGCAACATTGTCACCAAGAAGGTAGGTGCATAGAGGAACCTCCTGTTCTAGGCAGAGGCCAGTGGAACTAAAAGACAGTGGAACTCAATCTCATTGCTGTCCTAATGGGGCTGGCATGGCTGTGGCCAGCCACCCCTACAGATGGGAGCTTAGTGCTTTCGGTCCTTTGTAGCCCCAACATGGAGGTCCTCATAGTCTTGGTCCCAACTGAGCCTGAATGGCACAAGCTGCCCTGTCCTAGGACGAGCCCCCTCAGAATATCCAAAGCTAGTCTTACTATGCCCAGCTTTGAAAATGAGCACTAAGAGAGCAGGGTAGTCATTCCCAGGCTACCAGGGACCTCCTCTAATTGACAAGGATGTGGAGATATGTTAAATTTAAGTTGTGTATTAATAAATATGTCACCAGGAATGATTTAGCTGTCAAGAATCAGCCTGAAAAAAAAAGTGAGAGAAGGGATGGGTTAGGAGTGATGGGTGACAATGTTGTCAGACACCTGGTACTCACATACTGTTTTGTAGAATGGGAACTCCTTTGTGCAATTACTTAAAGATATAATAATAAAAATGTAAAAATTAAATTTAAAAAAAAGAATCAGCCTGATCAGGCATCGGCTGCTCAAGTTTATAATTCTCGCTACTCAAGAGGCTGAGATCTGAGGATTGAGGTTCAAAGCTAGCCCAGGAAGACAAGAAGTAGAGGTGTTGCTTAAGTGGTAGAGCAATAGCCTTGAGCAAAAATAGCCAAGCAAGAGCTCAAGGCCTTGAGTTCAGCCCTCCCCCGACCCCACACACACACATACAAAGAATTAAAAAGAGCTGGTCTGCTACTAGGAGAGGGATAGAGGAAGAGTTTCTCCAGTTCTTCCATGGGGCTGTTGCTCACCTAAATAGGCAAGACCCTTGCAATCATCTCTTCTCTTATGTATGGGGTAGGGCTATGCGTGGCCCAGAGTAAATAGAACTTACAAATCTGGATGAATGAAAAGGATGAGGCGGTGAGGAGGTGGGAGGTGAGCAGAATTGCTATAGATGGATAAATGATGCCTTCTCTGCCCTCAAGCACTGGAGATAGAAGGGCAACATCAACTCCCATCCAAAAGACAGGTAAAAAAAAATCTAGGGATTAATACATCATTACCCATGGTCAAAATGAGCATTAAGTGAAACCTTCACAGAGTCTATACCTTCTAGGCCCTCTGCCATGTTCCAGTGTGGCTTTCCCACAGTGGTGGCAGCAAGAGTCCAGTGTCCCTTCTCTTGTCCCTCAGTGACAAGGACTGCCTCTCCCTCAGATCTCACTCCTGGAAACTTGCTTTTATAAAACTCTACCTTGATGGTTTAAACAACCACCTTCCTCTTTCTCTTCCAGATCATTCGCAAGGTCGTTCGGCAGGTGGACTCATCTGGCCCTGATGACACCCAGCAACATGAGGAGGTGATTGTTGAGGGGCCCCTGGAGGACCCTAGTGAACTGGAGGCCGATATTGAGTATTTTATGAGACACTCCAAGGTACTGAAGGGGTGTGGGCTCTGGAAGCCCCCTTCTCCAGAGTGGCCCAGTGAGGTCATCTCCTGCCTCACCTCTTCTCCACCTCTGTCTGCACTGTGCTGCGCTTCTGCTCTCCTTCATTTTGGGCGGGCTTCCCACCAGCTCCACACTGTCCCTTTCCATTCTTTGGCCTCTTTTTCTCATCTGTGAGTGTGATCTGTCCTGCTTTCTGTCTGCTGCCATCTCCAGGTGGAGCTGAGAGGGAGTGGCCTACAGCCGGATCTGATAGAGGGCAGGAAAGGGGCTCAGATAGTGAAGCGGGCCAGCCTGAAAAGGGGCAAACAGTGATCTCGAGTCTCCTTGGAGTAGTTTCTTGGGAGGTAACAATGGCTTTCTTATCCTTCTGCATGATCTGCATCCTTTTTCAGTGGAATGGTTGTTCCTGCCTGCTTGCCCCTCCCAGGCCATCTTCCCCACCCAAGCACAATGCACAGGGTCAACCTGACTGGTCTAGAGATCCTGACTCTCACACCTCCAAACTTAGTAACATTTTATGAGCCTTGGCTTCTTTGTCTAAGAGAAAATCATATCTCTCTGGTCTCTCAGGGAGAGTATAATTGCATGCCCCCTCCCCATGAAGAGATTGGAGCCCAGCCTCATGCATGCTAGGCATGAGCCACATCCCAAGCCCCTGTATAGTTTTGCAACAATGATTTCATTAGTGAAAAAACACTCAGCAGAACTAAGCAATTATGTATCTTGGAAAGCATGTAGGGAGGGCTCTAGCGTTCATAGACCGGAGAGAGGACATCTAAGCTATGAAATTCCAACATGAGGGCCTACAAAGTACTCCAGAACTTGGAGCTGAAATGTGCTGGAACCTGGAACCTATCTGAAGTCCTGCCCAATCCCAGGCTGAGGTTCTCCGTGGTGTTCATGGACAGGGCGGTATGCTTGCTTTCTAGGAAGGGACATTGAAAGTCAGGGGGTGCTCAGGTTGGGCGGGGCGCCCGTGCATGGTGAGTGTGAGCATGGGGTAGTGGTGCTAAATAGGGGTGTGCCATGATGTGCAGTGAGGGTCTCAGCAGATCTTTACAGTACTGGGCTCTAGCATCCAGCTGTGATCTCTACCCTCCCTGAGGGATCCTGTACTGAGCTGCCCTGAGGCTCTTCTTTGTGTCCAACTCGGGGCAACTCAGTACAGGATGCATCGGGGTGGGAGTCAGCAGGGAGCCAGAATCATCATGTCCAGCACACCACTAACTCAGCTGTTACCATCCACATCTCCAGGGTCAGCTTCTGGGGCCAAGCAGCAAGCGGTTGCTGGTTTTCTGCATTTTTGCAAAAAGCAGGGCTTGCTGCATTCTGAGTCACCAGAAGTGCTGACTTGAGGCTTCCCGACATATCTCAGCACTTGGGCAAAAAAGAGGACTGGCAGATCCAGTCCAAGGATAAAATTAAACCTGACTCCTCAGCAGCTTAAGGAGGCCACAGTATTAACCCTGCCAGAACCAGGAGATACTAAAGCAGCTGCTGCTTTAGAAGGCTATGGAGTTGTAATTGGGACCTAGAAAGAACCCTAAGGTGTGAATAATTTTAAAGCAAAAGTATCCCTTTCTATTTTGTTTAAATTTGAGCTTTGGTTTGTCTTAAGTTCTAACAGTGTCCTGAATGGGGGATAGTCTAGAAGCCAGGCTGGGGTAAATAAGGGACAAAAAACATTGTGTGTACTGGTACTGCAGCTTGAACTCAGGGCCAGGGCGCTCTCATACTTGACTTTTTCTGTTCAAGTCTGGCACTCCACCACTTGAACCATACCTCCACTTCCCTGCTTTTTTTTCTGCTGGTTAATCAAAGATAAGAGTCTCATGGACTTTTCTGCTTGGGTTGGCTTCAACCCACAAGCCTCAGATTTCAGCCTCCTAAGCAGCTAGGGTTACAGGACACTAGTGCCAGGCAATAGACATTTTGTTGCTGTTGTTTTTGCCCATACTGAGGTTTGAACTCAGGGCCTTGTACTTGCTAGACAAGTGCTGTACCACTTGAGCCATGCCTCCAGCGTGAATTTTTTTTAGTGTACTATAAATGCCCTTCAGAGAAGCTAAAAAAAAAAAACCCACAGTTAATGAGGATGAGATTCACAAGAGCATGGTTTCAGGAACACAGAGCAGCCTGGCTTCCAGGCAGTGCTGTCCCTCTGCCAACAAAAGGCAAGGGCATTGTGTGGTGGGGATAGAAATGAAGGAGACAGCATGGAGGCTGGCACTTACCAGAATCCCAGAGGGCCAAGCGGTACCCTCCCAGTGAGAGCAAATGCTGCTGAGAAGACAGTGAGGGGGCTGCAGGCTGTCTGGTTCTTTTTTTTGGGGGGAGGGTCCGGTTGTGGGGCTTGAACTCTGGGCTTGGGCACTGTCCCTCAGCTCTTCAGCTCAAGGCTAGCGCTCTACCACTTGAGCCACAGCACCATTTTCGGCTTTCTTTTTTTCTTTTTGCTTATGTGGTGCTGAGGAATGAACCCAGGGCCTCAGGCACGCAAGGCAAGCACCCTACCACTGAGCCACCTTCCCAGCCCTTGTCTGGTTCTTCACACAAGCACAAATAACAAGCCTTCACTGTTCTTTTGCAAAATGTCCTTGTAATCAAAGCAAGCTCACCATGCTTTTGTGGTCATTCAGATGCACATTCAAGGGTGACGGATCTGAGTTACCATCAGACATGCACATTACTGGCTGAGGTGGACAAGGTGTGCTCTGCCTCGGCTTAGCGCTCACACTGCCAAGCATTCTGTTGGTGGCATGCTTAATGCCACCTCGGGTGCTTTTCCTGGTGATTTTTGCTGGCTAAAATGTTCTCCGATGTTGCGTTGAGGTCCTGGTCTTTTGTTTTGTTTTGTTTTTGTCTTTGGTGCCAGTACTGGGGCTTAAAGTCAAGGCCTCACTCTCTTGTACTCTACCACTTGAGCCACAGCTCCACTTTCAGCTTTTTACTAGTTAATTGGGGATAAGAGTCTCATGGATTTGTCTGCTTGGGAAGGCCTTAAGCAGAGATCCTCAGACTCAGCCTCCTGAAAAGCTAGGATTACAGGTGTGAGCCACTAACACCTGGCTCTGTCTGTGGCTTCTAAATGCAAAAATGCCATAGATATGCCTTCTAGAGTAAATACATGTGTTAAAAAGGGTTGTTGGTGGAAAGATCAAGTTAATGAGACATAAATGTCCCATAAGGAGTCTTCATATAGAAACATACTTGAATCAGGGCTAAGCATTTACTGACTAGTGAAATTCTTAGAATAGAGGCTCACAAGAAACTAACCTTATGTTTCCCTTGGAGCACTGGTTCAGTGTTCACTAATTCAGAGTTCACAGAGTAAAACATAACAGTTACTGCAAATGTGGAGAATCAGAGTGTAAAAGGTTTTCTTGAGAGTCTAGATTTGAGGCCAGTCTCCTCCTATTCCTTAGTCCGAGGTTGTATGGCCTTAAACAATTCAACTGTCCCAAGCTTTGGAATCCTCAAGAGAGAATGGAAATGGTTCCTTTGATACATATAAATAAGGAAGTTTACAGGTCTACTGGTATTCACCAGTAGTAAAGCAATGGGAGCTCTGGGTTCTACCCCCAACACTGGAAAAAAATGTTTACAAAGAATAATAGCATGAGAGTTATTGTGAAGAGTAAATGAAAATGTAGTCACTCTGGCACTCAATCAATGGCAGGTTGTATTTGTAGAGTCAATTGACCTTCCTGAGCCTCAAGTTCTTTGCCCATAAAGTAGCAATAATGCCAATATTTTCCTTGCAGGAAGGCTGTTGAGATGGATGGGCTTATGTCTGTGAAAGGGCTTTACAGCTGTCAAGTTCTAGTAAACTCTATCAAAGTGCAATCCACAGCCCCATGTCACACCTAAGAATCTTATTAAAATGTAGATTCCCAGGCTGAGGGTGTAGCTTAGTGGTAGAACCTTTATCTAGCGTACATGAGGTCCTGGGTTCATCCCAAGCACCAAGAAAATAAAAAGGGAGGATAAGGAGCGTGTGAGTTCCTGACCCCTGCCCCAGTCCTGCTGAATTCCATTTCTAGTATAGCATGCTCCATCAAGCTGCTAAGTGATTTTTAATGTGTATTAAAAGTTGAGTTAGTATGTCTTCCCAAACCTCCCAGAAGTGCTGTTATCATTGTTACATCTGAAAAGCAAGCTGAAAGGAATTGTCACCAGATGCAGGTGAGGGTTAGTGAAGTTACCCTTTAAATACAGGAACTCTTCACTTCGGGTCCTTGACTTCGATTGCAGAATAGGAATTTCTGGACAAGTCACAATGGTAAGAAAACTTGATAGAGCTTTACTAAGTAAACAAGCAAACAATCAGACAGACAAATAGACAAACAGAAGGGCAGGGACACTCTCTAACACAGTGTGGTTGCTCTCAAAGGGAGACTGAGAGAGGAGGGGTAGGAGAGAGAGAGAGAGCGCGCACTGTTTGGTAAAGGCAGGGGTTCTGGCTTCAAAGTTATGCAAAGCTAGTTGTTTTATCTTTGCTCCAATTACTCCTGTTACTTTCTGAGTTTCTGGATGTTTGGGGGCATCTCTTCCAGGTAAGAATGCATCCTGCCATGAAAACAGATCCTTGTCCTTGAGATAAGTAAGGCTCCCTGCTATCTTGGGGTCAGAAATGCATCCCTCAGGAAGGAATGCATCTGGTTGTCTCTCTTTGAAGCAAAGATGAGCCTTCTAAGTTTCTAAATACCAGATTTCTGGGTGCCTTCACCAGGCCTCATTTTCCTCAAGTTATCCTGTTTCAGGATGGTGGGGCTTTTTGGTGTGTTGAGATATGGGACACCCTCCATAGCAGGGTACCTCCATCCAGGAGGACTAAGTAGACCTCACCCCTAATTTTGCTTTCTTCATAGTCGCCTGTAGCACTGGAAAGGCTTCTACACTCAGGCTGGAAGTCAGCAGGACGTTCTAGTAAATAATTGCTATTTAATCAAAGCAGATGGTAGATTTTGTGTTCAAGTGTCAGGACATCAATGTGGAGAGACAGTGGAGGGGTTGGGCTTAGAAGGACTGGGGACAGAGGCAGCATGGCTGTCCTCTGGGTTCCTATGAATCTGGGCACCCTTCTGCTCACCCCCCTAGGGCTCTCCAGGACTCTGCAGGAGGAACAATCCCCCTACTCCACCACCACCACCTTTTTCGTTTTCCTCTTTAAGGAACATTCAGACCTTATGGTTGCAAATTTGCTTTAACTCTGACAGTAGAGTACCTTAATAACTTTAAACCTAATCCATAGTCTCAATGGCAGGAGGTAGCCAGGCTTTGTTTCACCTACAGTCCATTGTTTCACCAGC